TCGTCAACTTTGCTATGGAACTAGGTAGACTTTCAAGACTATTATCACACAATATCAGTGCCTGAAGAGACATCAGTTCGCCCAAGGTCGACGGTACTTCTACCAATCTGTTTCCTCCCATTGACAGTACTTGTAATCTCGAAACAAAAATTATTAATCTTCGTATTCTAAGTTATGTTCCATGCCGCAGTTTTAATTATACTTTATTTGAAATTAGCTCTTAGGTACTAAATGTCATCTAATGTAAAATCAATTTTATAATATGCCTTACACATTATACTATTGTGATTACATTGATAAAACTTGAAACCAGTCTAAAAATGTATATAATAACTGCACAGCGTGAATTAAAAATAAAATAAATGTTAAAGTTGAGATTCATTATTATAATGTTTCATGATCCTCGCGAAATATGTTGTAGTATATACTTTACAATAGCTATTTTTTTTATATTAGCTTCTACATACATTTTTAGAGTTTTAGATTTGTCTCAAAGAACCAATAGAATCACGATAATAATGCTTCGTTAGAGTGCTAATTTTCAAAATATCGCATAACGTATTCATAAAAGATCTCTGTTTCAGAAGCTATTTTTTTACTTTGAAGTCAGAATATTCATCGAGAGAGATCAAAACATCAGTCCAAAAACAGTCCAGTACCTTTGCAGTTTCCATACGTCTTTACTAATCTCCGTGATTTGATTGCCGCCCAAATACAGGTATTTAAGCTCCGTCAGGTCAAGAACCTGCTCTGGAAAATCTGTTAACCTGTTCCCGCTGAGATTCAGCTCCCTGAGCCTCGGCAAATTTTGAAGGTTTTTCGGTAGCGAATCGTTCGTCAAACTATTATGCTTGGCGATTAAACAGGTCAATGGACAATCACCAAGGAAGTCAGGCAATCGATAAAGGCCGCAATTTGATATATCCAATGAGTTCAAGTTTGTGAACCTGACTACACTCTGTGGAATATTGGACAGCCGATTTTGATGAAGCAGTAAAGTGTCCACATGCTCCGGGCTCTTGGCATTGACGAAATGATCGTTTAGCAACTGTGTATCGAGCATCAAATAAGACAGATCCAGTGTCTTGCTGCTGGAATCTGAGTCGCTCGAGTCTGACGTGTAGTTCTCCATAAACGAAATTTCACGATTTTTCCCTTTGGGCTTCTTCGAACCTTGTGAAACAGAAGGAAAGAGAACATTATTAACACTTGATTGGTAACGTTGAACTTTTGGAATTTTTAATTGAGCTTAAAAAGTTATTGAACTTTAACTTTACAAGTAGATTAATTTCTTGTTATCTCAAAAATTGCTTATTTGCTTTATTCGGCGAATTTTTTTACATTCTCTACTCGATATACGCAAATCACTTTCTATGAAAAATACATTGGACATCTTGTGACACGTGACAACCTAAGCGCGATAAAAATGGAAAAAATTTATGAATGCAATACACACAATTTTATTAGCTGCTTTAAATTAATATCTAAATATGTCCAATCGATCAATTTATATTCCTTCTCGACCATAATTGATCAACAAGTCTATAGCAGTAAATTGAACATTTTTAAATAAATAGTCCTATTAATATAAAAGAAATAAGTCAACACAAGCAGTGACTTTCATTAACTTTATCGACAAGTAGTATTTCACAGTTTCAATATTATATTACGTAAAGAACAAAAACGAGAAAAGCGAATCTATTTACCGATAATTATGCTTGGTCATTTGAAAAAGAAATGTTTTCTTTTCTCGAAACGATAACTTGTTATCTTTTGATGGAAATGTTAGAAATCTTTTAAGAAAATTTTGCATTTTTGTGAAGAATTTTTTAATGAAGAAATATAATTTAATTTTATTAATATATTGTATTAAATATAGGTATATATTTCTTTTATTTTTAACATGTTACGAATAAATTAGAAATGATCAGAATTGTAGTAAACTAGGAAATTTGAATTGTTTGTTTAAAATTTTCCAAAGATTCTAGTTCTTCTCTTTTATATAAAAAGATGTTACAGTTAATTAAAACAAGGATCAAATCATTTCTCATTTTAAAATAAATTAACAAAGAAAGAATAAAATTTTTAATTTGAAACGTGAGTCATTGACATAAACATAATAAGTGCTTATATATATTTGAACAATTTCAAATTCCAATTTATAAAAGACCTTAAACAAATTTTGATAACTTTATATTACTTTATTTCATCGATGCATCGTTACAAAAATATCAAATAATAAATTATTAATTCCGAGATTTTAAATTAGATTAAATATTTAAAATTAATTAATACTTTTCTGCTGTAAGCGAAATTCTGTTCGTAGACGGTTAAATAAATTTCTTGTTTGTTCTTCGATTTTTATAAAGTCTCGCCTTATCCAATTGTATTACTCATCTAACGTTTATGAGATGATCAACTTACAGTATCTGCATATAGAAGTGCCTGTATGTAACATTGTGAAACTGATAACGCTTAAAATGAATATTAATTTTACGATTCGTTAATCGAATTCGACCAAAGATGAGAAAAGAATCGAGTTCGAAGAGGGTTATATCGTAAATTGTGTGAATCTATCGTTATCTCTTTAAGATTTCAGAGACCGTGACAATAGGTCGTCAAGTATTGCGATACTTCTCTTCGACGTTACAATGTTCGCTACGATAAAGAACAACCATTCGATGAACTTCTGGCACGTCATCGGATGTTAGAGAATGTAAAACATTACGTAAAACTATCTTTATAATCGTGCTTCTTTTTATTTTCAATCCCGTTAATAATAATTGTGGAAATTAACAGTTATCGATAGTTCGACTCATATTTCGTCTGCATTATAATTATTCTTATTTGAGCCTCTTAAGAGCTAAACTAATTAACTTTACTTTTGTGAACTTTTCAATTTCATTAGCTAGAAACGTATTTATTGTTTAATTTTTCAAAAAGTATGTAATGTCGTCACTACTTTTACTTCCTAATTTATGGAGTTAATCAATGTGACTTATGAGCAGTTACTTTACAAATACTTTACTACAAATTGGGTTGTTTTACACGAAACGAAGTAAATTGTTGTTAAAGTTTTAATTTAAAGAACCAATTAAGAATTGAGGCTCAATATCTTCCATTTCAAAAGTTTCCCCTTCGCGTCTTCGTCTACAACATTCTATAATCCACAACAATTTAACTTTGAATATTTTCTCAATAAGATCACAATATCAATAATATCTTTCCTCAACACTTCACTTCGCATCTAAAAAATTTTCCAAATCATTCGAATTTCAGTAATTATACTTTTAAAAGAGAACAAAGTCTTGCTATTAATTTTCACATGTACTCTATTCATATCCGGGAGTCTTGGATTCAAGGACCACACGTGACTTCCGCCATTTTCACAAAACCATCACCATCACAAAGTTGTTGCATTGAAAATGCATTAACAGAATCGATGATTCCACGAAATCGTGAATCCCTCAAAAATATTTCGATTGTACGAAAAATAACCTCTTACCTTTTGAGCTGAGTTATCCTCTTACCTTGGTGCTTTTTATCCTCGATAAACGTCAGAAAGTTTTGCGTAGCTCCTTCTGCGTAGCTCGATCGTCTCGGTCGTTCACTGTTCCAAGTTCCGTGGCACGCTTGGCCGTGGTTTACGGAGAAACTGGATTTACAATCGACTCAAGATGTGTGAACGCAAGGCTCGAGACTGAACTATATCTGGTTTTATCAGTTCTCTTTATAAGTTGTTTCAGAAGCGCTTGACATCACCGACCGCGTGTTAAATTGCAGTGCCGTGGTAACATCTGGGCGACGTATTTCAAAGGAATTTGGATTTTAAACCCGTTTAAGGATCAAACGATAGTTTATCATAATCAGACTGTGGATTTTTATACACTAATGGGAAATGTAAAAGTGCTAAAATCCACACGGTGTATATAATATGCAATAATAGAAAAGATATTCAAAATACAAATTTTTATTTAGGTTTCCTCAGCTCTTCTTATGCTCATAAAGATGTAAAAATCCACAGTTTATATAATCATAATATTATAAATACCTTGGACTTCTCTTGGAATAATTTGAGATTTATTGTACAAAGATAAAAATATTCTGATTGATGAAATATAACAAGGAGAGCTAAAAGTTGTAGTAGCGTAAGTTGGTCTATTGATATTTTTTTAAAATAGACTCCAGTGTTAACAGATAATAAAAAACGTTGTAGTAAAATTATAATAGATATTAAAAAATATTTATTATATCTTTTCAAATTACAAGAACATATTACAACTATATTTTTTAAACTAAACGCTATTTTTACTAGCAATTGTTATTAAACACCATAAGAATTTATATAGGAAATTATAATATAAAATTTATAAATAACTGAGAGTTTGGTATAAATAACGAATAAATATAATTTTAAATTAAATTATTATTAGATCTGAGTAATTATTTTGCAAATAATGACAAACATTGTAAAGTAAAACAAGTAAAATTGAAATAAATTGGCGTCTTGCAAAAGATCAAATGGTGGCGCTTCAATCGTTGTTACGAGGAAATAGATTTGATGGAATTACTAAAGGCGGCAATACAAAAGCATGTTACTTTTACATAACAATTGTTAATAATTCTATTTTTTTAAAAAATAACTTTAATTTAGATTTCTCTAATTTACTTTCCTATTTTAAAACATAATTACCATGCGAAAATATTGACTTATATGTACATATGTACATATGTACAATACTGACATGATTTACTGTATTGTTTATGGTACAAAATTAATATAAGAACGTTTAGGAATATCTTATTTATTCATGAACGTTATGTATGAAAAATTTCTAAAATAATCTCTTTATCTTAAGATTAGCAGTATTTTATTTGTAAAAACCATACGATATAAAAAATATCAGAAATTATGATATCTAAAAGAGAAATTAAGAAATTAAGAAATATTCTATAAAATTATTCTATAAAATAACACTTATTTAATAAGAATAACAATTAAAATTAAAATGTACATTTACTTTGTTGAGATATAACTTGCATGCAACAATGCTAACATTTCACATAGCTGTAGTATTTATCAACAAGTAACCTAGAATTACGTTCTGAAACTGAATTTCATCTATCAAAAATATATAATGGAAATAATAAATTACAAATTTAATGTGTTACTAAGTATGATGTATCAGAGCACATCGCGTTTTATTTAAATGTAATTGTCTTTTGAGGTTAGAAAAAGGCAAAGAACTCTACATATTAAAGTGAGAAATTTTGTGATTTTTTTGTAAAATTTGTGAAATTGAAATTAATTTAAGTGACATTTAGAAAATGTTTTCACACATTCGTCGAACATTATGCTTATTCTCTTCAGTGACTAGAAGTACATTTGTATCTAATGTAAAGAATATGAAGCAAGACACATCTGAAATATGTTGGAATTATTTCATAAGTAATTATGGAAATACATTAGTTCAATCCAATACTATATCAAAAGAAGTATGGGAAAATGTAAGAAAACATATGATGAAATTAGAAAATGATCCGTTATCTGCTGATTTTGTTATTCTAAATATGTTTCAACAAAGGAATTATCCAGATGCTGGAATGTCTTATTACAGATTTTTAAAGAATAATAATTATAATATTACAGTGCCTTTAATTACTAAATATTTGCAGTGTTTAACTCAAAAAAGTAATCTTTCAGAAACGGATAAAGAACATATCTTAAGTTTATATAATGATATTGCAAGTAAATATACTTTATTTAATGTAGGACTCAGTAATGTTTTTATTTCATGCTTATGTAAAATAGATAATTGGGAAGAAGCTGCTAATATTATAAAAAAGCATGAAGAAATTGATAAAAGTTTTCTTTGCTGCGGATATAGTTCATTAATTTCATACTTTTTTGAGCATGGAAAAGAAGAATTAGGATATGAATATCTGGATCGTAGCTTAAAATATAAGCAAAATCTTTTAGATATTGCATACAGTTCATATTTGAAATATTGTTTAAAAGAAAAAAATACATTCAATAATAAAGTTGAGAAGTTATTTTCATTATGGAATGAATATGCTATTAAACCTACTGAAAATATTGTACAGGAATATATGAATGCATGTATTGAACAAGGTTGGTCTGTCAATGCAACAAAGATATTCAGGTATAAAGTAAATCTAAATATTAAAATATTAATTGCAATAGTTATTAGTTTTTTTGTTTTGCACACCAACTTTTATTTTCTTTCATACAGCTTAATATGCCAGAATTGTAAACAGAAGTTATCACAGCTAAGTTTATCTGATGATGAATATGAATATTTGCTTAAAGCTACAAAGGAACAATTAATTTTCACTAACATGTATTATGTAACAGTACCAAAGGAAATACAATCATACATGAAATTTATTGATAAAAATAAACCGTATGACATTATTTTAGATGGTCTAAATTTTATGTATTTTGCTAAATATAATAATCACTTAGAAACTAAAGTAAGTAGTTCTTTTAATAGTATAAATAACTATGTAGCACTTTAATAGTTATATTTTCCTTATCAATAAGATATACGTATATGCTCATTGTATAATTAATATTTCATAGTTTATAAACATGTTCAAATCTCTTAAAAGTCAAAATAAAAAGATACTGATCATTGGAAGAAAACACATAAAGAAATATATAAAACGAACAGGTCTGGATGTTGCAGATTATTACTATGTTGAAAATAGGTATGCATTATACGTATATAAGATATTAATTTTTATTTTTTAAGACATATTTAGACAGATACATTTTTTAAATTTTTTATTTCAATATTTTAGTTCGAAAGATGATTTATTCATGTTATATGCGGCATTTGCTAGCGGAGAAAATGCTAAAATTATTACTAAAGACTTAATGCGTCAACATATATTTGCTTTGAGAGACACCAAGTTGAGTGGACTCTTCAAGAAATGGCAATTATCGCACCAACTAGTTCTTGATAAACAAGGCTATTCGCAATTAAGCGAACGTGAAATTTTCGACGCAATTGTTCAAAAGCAAAATAATTACTGGCATGTACCATATCTTAAACGTAATATAGCATCTCAAATGAGGCATACAAGTATTGATGATTGGATGTGTTTTAAAATGAATGAATAAAATGATATATTTTTGTAAGCTATTTTCCAACTTGTTAATATTTTTATGAAACTTCTTGAATTTGTATGACAAGTTGTATCATTGTATTTCAATTTCTTTTAAATATCAATTAACATAAAAATCCTAAAATTAAAAAAAATGCATTTGTACTGTTTTTTTTTTATGTATTTTCTAATGTTTGAAGTATAATGGATATACTATAATAATAATTGATTTGTTATTTTCTTTTTAATTTAGTTAGATCTAAAGATGAACTTCGTTGTTGTTAGTTTTAAATCTTCTACCACGTTAATCAAACGTCATATAAATACTTTTTAATAATATTAATAAATGATCAGTTGATGAAGTATTTGATAGCATAAGGGCATTAAATTTTTTTTAATTTTTTAATTTTTAAATTTCTTAATTTCATAATTTTTCTATTTAATTTCTATTTCTTAATTTTATAATTTTTCTAACAATCATACAATTATTTAAAATTCTATATTAATATGCACTTTTCCATTGTACATTAATAGAGGCCAGTTTTAAATTTCCAGGTTAATCAAACGTCATATAAATATTTCTAAACAATATTGATAAACAATTAGTCGATGAAATGTTTGATAGTGTAAGAGTGTTAAATAAATTTTAAAATTTTAAAATTTTTTTATTAAACCAATCGTACAACTATATATTAACACGCATTTTTCAACTGTACATTGATACAAGCTTAATTGACTAACGTTGTTTCCGCCATTTAGTTTTGGCGACAGTTAACAATTTTGTGAGTACGAATATGGCACGCATGGGAAAGATCGAAGGCTTTTTTCATAACAGTAGTGTAAATACTGCGATATAAATATTATCTGTTCATGTATTATCTTGCAAAATGGCAAGAATATTTGAAAGAAAACATAGACAACAATCGGTAAAGTATATCATTGTTTTAATTCCAATTTGAACCGCGCGTATAAATAGGCCAATTACTGCTTGGTCATAATTTGATCGTCAAATCTTTCAGTACTTGATTTATACAACTGTACTCGTCATTGTTGGTACATTTTTATTAATAATTCAAGTAGTCTTCAAATATTTGAGAAACTGTAACGATTAATGTAAAATTGAGACTATACTTGGTAATATAATAAAATTTCTCATATCAGTTTAAAGTATTGACAATTTTTCATCAAATGTGTGAATATTCTCGTTCTTTAAGAATATGCTATGAATTTTGTGTTCAGAGTTTTTTATTTTTTATTTCAAGTTATCATTTCGTGCGAAACGTGCGATTACAGCGCCACTACACGGTGAAACACGCAATACACTTCCTACGATTCTCGAAATAATCGATATTTCTCACGATCGAATTTAGCGGGAAACATGGCGGAAAGGAGCACAGCCTAATCTGTAAAGAAAAAAGTATTATCTAAAAGAATCATCCAGAAAGAAGTATCATTAAAAAGTTCTCAGGTAAAAATATAAATCAGTAACTATTACATTTGTGTTTGTATTGTGAATTTTTATAACATTTTTAGCTTCAATTCAAGGTAAGAGATAACCAAACTTTTACATATAATTTTCAACAATTAAAGAAATAATCGCGTATAAACATTTAAACAGAACATATTATGCTAAAAGTTATGTATAATTTTACACTAAAATTTAATTTCGATTCTAACCAGTAAAAATATTGTAACCTTGTAATTGGCTAACCCATTATACTTTATCATATGCTTTTACACACATACTTCTGTTACAACATTTTCTACTTATTTTATTGATTCTTTAATTTCATACTGCGTAATTTTTAATAATTCCAATTCAATAATAATTTAGAATGTACGTCTTTAATAGTTAAAATAACAATTTTACTGCGTAATACAACAAAATATTTTCCATCTTTCAAATAAGTAAGGCATAGAAGGCCTTGAGGCTCGAAATTCGTAGTTCAAAATAACATAAACACATGTTTACGTATTTGTGTAATGCTCTTAATGTCCCATCTATTTGTTCGGTATTGCAAATAAACACTTTCGACTAAACGTGTCGAGACGTGCCTGTTCGTTCAAGATCACCTCATTCCCTACTATTATCTCAATTACTAAACGAAACGTGTCGCGGAGAGTCATTCGGCCATCGAATTTCGTGACAACACGCATTACGTCGCATTAGGTTCATAATCTTTTCTAACCTATCGGTAGCGTCTCTTCGATAGCGTCGCTTCTTCAATACTCTTTTACTTCCATTTGTACCTCATTAATAGTATTGTTTAATTAATATTCTTTTATTTTTCTTTTTTCATATTTTTTCTTGTTCAACATTCGTTTTCGGTATTAGAGTCAGTGCTCAAGAGGATGAAGCCTCTTCAGGAGATCAAGATCGTAAGTAGTTTTATATGTTGTACCTCAATTTATTCAATTTTTCAAATTTAACAACAGAGAATAATGTTTGATGTTTTGTTACAGATCTTCTACAGTCTCCATTTCCCCTAATCCTTCAAGAATCATGATGCTTCAAAAGCTAAAAATGTAAGTACTTTAGCACGTTGTATTTAAATTTTATTCTCTATAGTTTTCTTTCTGCTGAAATCAAATGTAAAATTATAATTATAAAATAAAAGCACTTAAAATTATTAGTCCCAATTTATCATTATTAAAATTTAAATTTTCACAAATAACATTGTATTTTTAAAAACAAAATATTTTATGTTTTTTAAGAAATTTTTCACGGCGTTCACCATGGAATTCTCAGTAGTGTTTACTTGATGAGAGTCTTCACGATAACTTTCCCCGCTCCAGCGCAGCATCGATGACAACGTTCTTCGCATCTATCGTGTGAGTCGCATGCATTTATGTTTCCTCCGGTCATTCAATCATGTCGTAGGACGAAAGGTCCGAATCGGCACGGGTGACTG